AAGGGCCAAAACCATTTCCCAAATATTCATAAGAAATTGATAAATTACAGTAAAGTATTATATAAAATATTATAAAATATTATAAGTATTTTTTTAAATTTCCCTCGAGAAAACATGGTCAGAGACATACTTTTAGACATTATTTAGGCAGGGCAAACACACAATCCTTCAATAGAATTCAAATTTGAATCTATATTAATCTAGATTCATTTGAAAATGACAGCAAAATTCATCTAGATTTTAAATAAATTAATCTTTACCAACCAAGAGAGATGCTGTGTGTTACCTGACATAAAGAGAGATGGGCACCACGGTGTTGAGGATGATGATGTAGGACCAGAAGGTGAGGAAGGAGGAGAAGGCGGGACTGTTTCCGTCTTCTCTCTCCAGGAAGGCGGTGAACTCTGACCCCTCCTGCTGCTGCCAGATGTAGTTTCCTATCGCCAGCACCGTGCACATGAAGGCCAAAAAGCCAAAGATCTGCAGGAAGAAAACATTAGTGACTCATCAGTGGGAGTCCAGGACTTGTTTTGCCTCCATTCAAAAGGGGAACTAAAAATATTAATAAGCTGTATTAACCATTTATTGCCACGTGTTTTATTTTTGCTACAAAAATGTCCTGAAAACTTAAAAAAAAAAATGTTATCATTATAATTTTTTACATAGAATATTTCTCTTTTTTAATTTTTGTTCATAGTAAAAATGATTGCATTATATGTATTATGTATTTATTCATGTAAATATGTAATGTCTTGAAAACTTTAAAGAAATATATATATATCATTATTACATTTCTTTTACAGAAGATAACATATAATTTTTCTCTTTTTTCATTTTTGTTCATAGTAAAAATTATTGCATTATCTGTATTATGTATTTAATCATGTAAATATGTGATGTCTCGAAAACTTAAAAAGAAAATTAGTATAATTATAATTTTTTTTAAAGAAAATTACATAAAGTATTTATCTTTTTGAATTTTTGTTTATAGTAAAAATTATTGCATTATCTGTATTATGTATTTAATTATGTAAATATGTAATGTCTTGAAAACTTAAAAAAAAAAAATTATTATCATTATACATTTTTTTTAAGAAAATAACAGAATATTTCTCTTTTTGAATTTTTGTTTATAGTAAAAAATATAGCATTATATCTCTTATGTATTAATAATTCCAATATTTTTTTACCCTGGACAAGCTCTTTAGGTCTAAATGATTTCATATCTTAAAAACATAACAGAACATAAACATAAACATAAACATAAACATAATATAAATAAACATAAACACATTTGTCTCACACAGAGGACGAGAACGTTCATCAGACGGTCCACGCTGGTCCTCTTAAAAGTGCTTTTCCCGCAGTTTTGCATCAGTTTAGTCTCCGGACCTGGAAAAGACAAGCCAGATTTTAAATTCCCACACGTGTTTTTTTAGTTTTATTTAGTTTTATTTAGTTTTATTTTTTATTTTTTTTGTCATTTGTTGGTGGCTAAATGCCCCCCTAACCCTAACCCTGGAAAAGAGAAGCCAGATTTTAAATTCCCACACAGGTTTTTTTAGTTTTATTTAGTTTTATTTAGTTTTATTTAGTTTTATTTAGTTTTATTTTTTTGTCATTTGTTGGTGGCAAAATTCCCCCCTAACCCTAACCCTGGAAAAGAGAAGCCAGATTTTAAATTCCCACAGTGTTTTTTTAGTTTTATTTAGTTTTATTTTCTATTTTTTTGTCATTTGTTGGTGGCTAAATGCCCCCCTAACCCTAAC